CGGGGCTCCTCCCGCTGCTCCTGCTGCTCCTCTCCGCCGCCGCCATCATCCCCAGAGGTAGGAAGGACGCGGACCGCACGGGCGGGCGGTACCGGGGCGGGCGGCGCGGTGAGGGGGTTCGCCCTCAGGGTTCGCGGCGGCGATCGAGTACCCCCGGTTGCGGCGGGTCCGGGGCGCGCCCGCCCGCTCTCCGTTCCCCCGGGCCGTGCCCGGAGCGCGCGGTGGTCCCGGGGAGGCGCCCCCGGCGGCGGGAGCGGCGGGCGGGCTCACCCGCGCGTGGCGGCGCGGCGCGGGCAGCCGCTGCCGGTTTCCATGGAAGCGGCTTCTCCTGCAGCCCGGGGGGTCATCAGCGGCCCCGCAATTAAAAACTAATTGCTTTGCGGGCCCCCTCTATCCCCCTCCTCTCCGCCCTCCCGGTGTTTGCGGCGGCGCGGGGATGCTGCACCCCCGCGGGAGCGGGGAACCTGTTGGAATCTGAGTGGAACTTGCGTGACGCTTCCCCCTCCCTCTTCCTCTCCTTCTCCCTCTCTCTCTTCCTCCCTTCCCTTCCCTGCTCTCTCTCTCTCTCCTCCCTCTCATGTCTCCCCCGGTGGCCGCGGGGGCCCTGCCGCAGCCGCGCCCCCCGCCCCGCTGGGCACGCTCGGAGCCCATCGCCCGATTCGGGCGCTAATTAAACAAGCCTAATTGAGGCCCCCGAACCGGGCCGGTTGGGTCCCCTCCTTGGCACCCTCGGGGTGAGGTGTCGGCGGTCCGGTGGGCGAGCCCCCTGCCCAGGCTGGCATCGCTCCCCGCCGAGCCCGGAGCCGCAGCAGCGACCTGCGCTCGTGTCCGGTGCCTTCGCTTCGAACATTCCCCGTTAAGGCGGTTCASGTTTCCCGTGTGTCCGCGGGCGGCACGGGGCGACAGGGCCGAAGGAGCGGGTGCTGTGCCCGGTGTGTTTGGGGAGAACAAGAGGCCATTGAGCGATCTGTTGAATCCCGCTCGTAAGGAAAGGGGGGACGAAGGGGCCGCCAGCCCGGCGAACAAAGAGCTTTATTCACAGCCTGTGTACATGTCCATGCCTTCCCCGCTCTTCCCGGGCGGTGGGATGGTGGTGGGGGGAGAGCGCCGGGGTCGTTTTCGGCTCGTTCTCCCTGCGATCGGTGCCGGTGCCCTCCCGGCGGCTCCGACACGGGCTGCCCTTCCCGGCTGTGCCCGGTTCTTCACGGCCCCGAAGGGTGACTGTCCCCGAGCCCGGCGCTCCGGAGCCCGTTCCGGGGAGCTGGAGCCACRGAAAGCGCCGGCTGTGTGCACTGCGAGCCGGGTAAACGCTCCGGTCCGGCTCCCCGTGCCCGGCTGCTCTGCGCTCGGTGTGTTGCAGCTGCTCAGATGTTTTGCCACAAGGTGCTGTTTGTGTGTTTGGTGTTTTTCGCTGCCTGGTGATTCTTCTGCCAGTGTGACCTGGAGACCCTGATACTGAGAGATGCCCGGGTTTGAAATAAGAGCCCTGCTCTAGGATGGCCGCGTTCATCCTTTGTTTTGCTGTTTTGCTCACCTCAAATTCTCTTAAGAGCAGTTTTTAGCTGGAGGCCGAAGCGATCCCCTCCAGGCTCAGCCTGTTCACCACTGCCCAGCTAACGGGTGGAACTGTGATTTGGGATCACAGAGGTGCTGAAAAGAAATAAAAGCAGGGCTGGATGAAGGCTCGCAGCAGCTGTGCCTGACCCATACACCGGAGAAAAGCACTGCCTGGTGTGAGCTGAGGTTKTGGTGCTGTTAGTGGAAGACACATATTTCATGTTTGCAGTGCTGTGTTGTGAATCGTGGGATAAAATCTCAGACTCTCRGCATTTAGGCAAAATTTCCTTACAGTTCAAGACCTTTTTTTCTTTTTTTACCCAATTACCCCTTTTTTTCCCCATTTACCCCTTTTTTCAAGCTATCAGCGTTAGCTTCAGCGTCCTGGGAAGAGAGAATTAGTGTGGCAGCAGCGTCAGCGCCGAGCGCAGCGCGCTGTCGTGTCTCCCGCACGGTTGCCACCCGAGGCACAGCAGTGCCAGCGTTGTGTCACCGCCGTGGTGGCAGCCCGTGATGCGGAGCGAGGTGAGGGCTCTGCCGCCTCCTTTCACAGCAGTGATTGGAACAGCAATAGGCAGCAGCGAGACACGGTTTGAGCTGMGCCGGTAACCTGGGACGAGCCCTGCGCTGGGATGGATCCGTGTGTTCCTGTGGTTGCTCTCGATGCTCTGCAGTTAATGACGCTCCCGATGCCCCTGTGCAGCAGGGTGAGGGCTGAGGAGTGGTCTCGGCTCGCTCTGAGGCGCTTGGGCAGCGCTGGGCTGGAACACGGAGTCTGTCTGCGCTGAGGAGCACTGGCACACGGCACTTCAGGGAGAAAAACTTAACAGCAGAAACCATGGGAGTGTTTGGAGACAGCGTCGGCGTGGAGCTGCGACCTGGCCAGGGTGGTTGTGCTGCAGCCTCCGTGTCTGTGACACCGAACGGGCCACGGAGAAGCCCCCGAAGGAAGCGAGCGTTCCCAGAGCGGCTGCGCTAAGCCAGGCTCCTTTGTAAACACGGAGTGAGTTTCCAGGGAGCCTTTGTATGCAAGCGAGGCGAGTGTGCTCGTCCCTGGCCTTCAGCAACACGCGCTGCGTTCTGCATGCGGCGCAAAGACCGGCGGGGAAGGGGCTGGGGAATAAAGTGATCCATCTGGGTTGCAGCTTGGGCTCATTTGTCTTGCATGTAGGCATTTGAGCCCAGGTTTATAAGCACGACAATCTGCTTTGAAAGCGCTGCCAAGGAGGCTCCTGAGGATGGGAAGGCAAGGAGAGCGTTCTACTCCGTGTGTGCTCTGCTCTGAGGAGGGGGAGGCTGACAGCACCTTCGGCAGGATGGACACTGTTGGGATGGACAATGGCAGGATGGACAGTGCTGGGATGGAGCTGTTGGGATGGACACTGTTGGAATGGACGGTGCCAGGATGGACAGTGCTGGGATAGACAGTGCTGGGATGGACCTGTTGGAATGGGCAGTGCCAGGATGAACGGTGCCGGGATGGACAGTGCCAGCATGGACAATTCCAGGATGGACAGTACTGGGATGGATCCCCTTGGCCCGCGTGGCCGCTGTTCATGTCCAGAGGTGGCTGCGGTGAGCGGAGGCTGGAGAGGAGTCGCTGTCCCTGGGGACCYCCGGCCGTATCAGCGGCCGCTCTGCTGATGCTGCGCTGCCGTCGCCTTTGTTTGCCTTGCGCTGTCTTTCCTGCTGTGTAAATAAAGAAGGCTTTGTAATCAAACAGCTCTGGCTCTGTCAGCCGGGYGCTTGGCGAGCCTTCCCCTGGCCCTGCCAGGACCAGAAGCGTTCGGTGGGGCYGTGTCTGTGCCATGGGTGAGCTCTCTGCCCTATTGCTGGGTGGAAAATGGGTCAGCTCGTTAACCCTGCGTCTGCCTGAGGCCRTCCGGAGTAAAACCTGTGTTCCAGCCTGGATACACCCTCTGTTTGAACAGACCATCCAAGCACTCCTCAGAACACGTTTGCTGATCAAAAGCAAACCCACGTTCGTGCGTGTAGGCAGAGTTTTCTGGATGTTTCTCCTTAATGGCTGTTTTTCTAGGGATTATTGTCAGACTTTGTATAGGGGTTTTGACAACCTGTTCCTCTTCTGGGTTTCAGTAGCACCTGGTGGTACTTGTGTCAGGAAAGCAGGGGCTCCCTCCTGTATCCAAACATTTCTGCTCCTGTCTGCGGCTCCAGATCTGAGCAGGCTCCAGGAGCAGAGCGCGAGGCTGCAGCCGTCGCTGGAGCTGAGCCAGGCAGTGAATTCTTAACGCAGGGCTTTGAGAACACGAGCAAAGCTGGACACGCAGCCGGTGTCTGCTGAGAACTTGGATGCTACTTGTTAAAAAAAATAAGTTGTGCTCGTTCCTCCAGGGAACGTTGTGTGGTGCAAACCCACCGGCGCTAAATAAAGGGACATTGTGGAAACCTGCCACGAAGGAGAGACCCTAGGTGGAATGTTGTAATTAGGAGTGGTATGTACTTGTTTAAATTCCATAAATCAGTCTCTTTCCCGGGATGTAATTGCACGCTGCAGAGAGCAGCTGCTGCTGCGGTTCCCGGGGAGCTCCAGCAGAAAGGCTTTGAAGGTCGCCCAGCGTGGGCTCAGGCGCTCCGGGGCAGCGTGCTGGGGAGAAGGGTGGGTTTGGATGTGGGTTTGGATGTGGGGCAGGCAATTCGAGGGGAAATACCACCAGGCTTCACCCTCAGCTCCGGGAATTGGAGCACGGGGAGCTGTCGGCTGGGATGTGCACGGTGCCTGGCCCTGCCGCGCCGAGACGAGCCGGCGTTTGTGGCTCAGCCACGAGCTGCATTTAGTTCTTGCAGTTTTTAATTTGCAAGGGCAGGATGAGCCCCAGCTGCGATACTGTGGCTGCAGGCGGCTCCTCTGATGGCCCTGCCCATGYGTGACCACCACCCGCCTGCTTTCTGGCAGCCTTTTTTGCTGTGATAACAGTTTCTCTTCTTCCTGGTGTCCTCATTACCTGTTGAATCTCTAGGTTTTCGTGCTCTCACATCTTTGCAGGGTGTTGAGTTGGGTGTTGGTGAGCCCCACAAGCGGCTCTGAAAAACCTGAGTTTCGGGTCAGTGTTTTTCACTCATTCCAAATTTCAGCAAGGGATAGAAATCCCCAAGGAGGTTTGGTTCTTGGAGTTGTTGCAGAGCCCACACAACACGATCTCCCGCAGTATGTGGCCGCTGGCTGGTTGCATTTCAAACACTGGGCTGGGCTGTACCAGGGCCATTTGCTGCCCTCCACTCCTGGTTATTTTAGACCAACAGTGTCTCTCTGTAGGGTTGGGCTGGCTATTTTTACCCTGTGGTTTGGTTTTAATTGGCTGTCTTCTTCTGTGGTTCAAAAACTCGAGCACTGCAAACACTCTGACCTTACCAAATTCTCAAGGTGAATCGGCAGAATATTTGATACCCCGTTAAGTTCCAGTCTGAAGGATCAAAGAGATACTTAGGCACATCTCTTTGCTCAGAGATATAAAACTTTTGTGGGCTGTAGCTTAACT